ATGTGTGCATCCCGTAGAGGATATTCCCAGAAGACAATGTATTTCCTCTTCAGCACATTCTGAACATTCAAACTAAAGCAAAAGTGAAACTACAACATGCAACAGTGTCACACTGCCAATGACACTTCCGTACAGAACAAAGAGGAGACAGTTAAAATAAAACAAGGGTGACTGGAAATATTTGACAGCCAATACCTTTTTAGAGTGGCTCCAAGATACTGAAGAGGTAAAGGGGGACTATGGCTGAATTAAAATGGCACTTTGAATTATGACACATACATGAGTAAATATGACACATACATGAGTTTCAACTTGGGAAACCGTAGCTTAGGCAAAAGATTGCTAAAACAGTCTGAAAGAAAGTAAAAAAAGAGTGAGACAGGAGAAAACTTGACAAAGCAAACAAGAGAGTTGCTGAGTTGATCCTGCAATGAGCTGCCCTAACAGAGCCTGCATCTGTGCAGTTAACTGGGGCTGCAGTTAGCAACACCTGAAAGAGGTTCACACAGAGATGACCAAGCAGATAGCTCGTCTTTTTTAACCTTTACATTGATTAATTTATCAGTTTCACCTCCAGAAAAAAAATTAAATCGATAGTACCAGATCTTAATAAGAAAAAAGATCAAATTATCTTTGCTGCTAGCATTTCACAACAGTCACCCCAGCACCTCCAAAAACATAAAAATAAAAAATAAGCCTGTAAGGCCAGAGAACTTCCTTCATTTTCAACCATTCCCTACCATTAGACTGAATTAACAAACCAAGACACTGAACTATACTACCTGGAGGAAATGAAGCTCACCAAACTAGTAATTTGTTTATTCATAGTTTCTAAAGGCCCCTTACATATTCCTTTAGGTCACGTGTCCTTTGGTAATCTTTCCAGGCTCCTGACCTCAGAATCAGGAGAAACCGAAGTAAATATAGTAGAGCATTTAAAAAAAAAATCTACATATATTTAACAAAATCCCTCCACAAAGCCAAAGGATGGGGAGGTAGATAAATTAGGGGTTGCCATGAGGCCCAACTGTGTTTTTTTCCCTTAATTTCAAACAAATTCCCCTCCACAAAGTCTCTTTTATCATATTATGGAGACATTGTGAACAATTAACAAAATGCACTGTAACTATATAGTGATATGCACCAAAGTAGCAAAACCAAGCATCAAACAGCAGGCAAGATAATCTTTCACTCTGTAGTCCTGATTTCACAAAGTGCCTTCTCCCAGCCGCTCCACACTCCAAATTCACCTGCAGGCAGGTGCCTCCCAAAATATATATATATAAAAACTACACACATACCATATTAATGAAAGAGTATGTCAAATTCAGAGAAGGTTGTGGAGAGAAATACATTGCCTCTAGATTGGGGGAGAGATAGGGGACCCAGGCATAAGAAGAGTTCTGTGCCACAATTTTCCCATCTCATCTCGTAAAGGGAAAAGTGAACCCCATGCTCCAGAAGATTAAGAGAATGGATTTTCAGAACTATCCCTGAACACAGCAACAGGTGTAAAAGAACTCTGTGTGCTTCCCCTTCACTTAAACCGTAGGTCCCAATAGAGTAAAGGGAGATGACATAGGACTTTAGATGAGGAACTCATAGAATCATAGAATATCAGAGTTGGAAGGGACCTCAAGAGGTCATCTAGTCCAACCCCCTGCTCAAAGCAGGACCAATTCCCAGCTAAATCATCCCAGCCAGGGCTTTGTCAAGCCGGGCCTTAAAAACCTCCAAGGAAGGAGACTCCACCACCTCCCTAGGTAACGCATTCCAGTG